AGGGGCAAGGGCGCGGGATGGAGGAAGAGATCAGTGGGATGGGGAGAGGAATAAGGGAGAGCGGGAGGGTGTTGCAATGGATCAGGTTGTTTATGTGCTCAAGCTGCGTTGCACTGCGTTGTAAAGACAGCTTGGTGGCCCAACAGTGTCAGGTAAGATATGTAGCCACACGGAATAACTTGGTCGAATGAGAAAACAATAAAATAATTTTTTAGTGTTTCTCTGATATAAATGCCATCTAACTTTACAACAACTCTATTTAACAAGTTTGGTTGCTATCCGGAATCTACGAACGGGCATTTAACCATTTTATGTTTGCCAAGCATTTCACAAATCACATATTTATTAGAACTGTACAGGCAAAACATGATGACTTAAGTGTAGATAAAGACAAATTCCTACTTCAACGACTAAGGTGTGTAAGTGCTTAACAAGGCTAGTAATTACATAATATATCAACAATTAAAAAATACGAGAGACAAAGCACTGATTAATACTGACCTCACTAGTTTTGTAAGAGTATAAAGTAATATGTTTGTGTTCGTATGATGATGAGGATGATAACAATGAGGTTAAGAAAAATATACAAATCATATAGGAATGTCCATAAGTATGTTGTATACGAACGTGTGAATTATTTTAGTTTACTAGACAGTATAATAATAATAATAATAATAATAATAATAATAATAATAATAATAATAATAATAATAATAATAATAATAATAATCCATCAGTAAATTCACCATACAAGTTTACAATTGGTTTGTTATGTATAATATAGACTATACAAGCATATAGTTCAGCTTGTGTTAAGACAATGCAGGTATACAGTGTTACATAGACCGTGGAAGCGTACAGTTTCCAGTGCTGTTTAACCACCAGAAAAAAAAATGCATAGACCTGGAGTACACACACACACGCCCACTTCTGTGATGAAATACCATTAGGGTTGAAGTTCTGTCAGGTTTAAGTTAGTTAGGTTGGTTTAGGTTAGCCTTTTTTCCTCTTTAAATGGCAAGCAATACCGAACCCTCAAACCCTCGAACCCCTGGAATTAAGGAAGCCGTTGATCTAAGTAATGAACCTTAATTTGTTTAATAATTTATGGTATGTATATTAATTATGACTATTATTATCCATATACAAGAAACTGTACAGAAATTTAGCTAGACTTGGATGATATGAGTGTTACAATGTACAAGGGAATTAATCACTAATATCTGAAACAAGAGCGTATTATTGTATTTTCTTATAGTGATAATAATAGCTATAGCAAATAATTTAATAGGAAATAAGACAAATTTGGTGTGATATGATCTAAATATGGTATTATGTGAATATCGGATTCAGTATTGTTTGAGGTATGACGCATTTATGACATCATCAGCTCCTGGGGGTCGCCTTATGAAACAGAATTAATCCGTAAAGATTGGAAACAAAAAAGGTAAAAATTATTATTATTTTTTTTTGTTACAATATAGAAGGAAGCGCAAGATTCTTTTAGCTAAGAGAATTTTGAGTTTAAAAAAAATTATTTTGGGGGAATATGTTAGGAATATCGACACAATTATTGTTGCGTAGAGAACATAACATTTCGTTATATTTTTAAATGTTTTTACGAAACCATCATTGGAAAAAAATATAGTTAAATCTGTAATAAATTTACGTAGGGATTGACATTTATTAAAATCGAATAGGAAAAACTCTCAGTTGCCATAAAAACGGCCAGATGTCAGCACGTTACAGACCCTTGAAAATGATGCGTAGAAAATGTTGCTCCCATTCACAAAACAATGATACTTACAGTATTTCTAATTTAAAGTAGCTACCGATAACCAACCAAACATGATGTAAACACAACTGCTAGGCGATTGCAAAGTTAGGTTTATGTTATCTATTTTATCTATTGAATTTTAAATAAATTTATTCAACAGTCGTGTTCGTAATACTTAGGCAACATAACCGTTCAAAACCTTTGCTGTGTTGAGGTTTAATAGTAGGTTTATAATACTGCACTCAAAGACCATAATATGAAAGACAGGAAAGCGTCTATCTTTACTAATAAAAAAAGCGTGAGCCACTGAGCTCTGATCAACGCCATCTGCTGGTAACGGGGCGCGTGTGGTTAGCGTCTCCATGGTAACCAGGGGAGTGAGCTTGTGTTTAATGTTTTCACGTTGATATATCTCATTGATCATATAGAGTTTACTGTGTGATATTGTATGTGTGTGTCAGTATGTATGTGTGTGTGTGTGCATGTGTACACATTAAGAACGTCAAGGTAATATACATTGACGTCTTTGCCTTGACGTTCTTAATGAATACACATGTACACACACATATAATATCACACAATAAATTCTATATGATCAATGAGATATATCAACGTGAAAACGTTAAACACAAGCTCAGGGTAATCTTTTTTTTTTCCGTATGCCTACGTCACACGAGTGATGGTGACGCCCGCGCCTTGTACTCTAACGCCATCTGTTGATCCCGCGGCCAACTACATGCTCTGTGGCCTCTTTTTGTCGTGTTTTGTGGAAGGGAATATAAACTTTTCTTTGCTTCATTTTCAAGCGTCTGTAACGTGCTGACATCTGGCGGTTTTTATGACAACCAACAGTTTTTTTTCCCTGTTCGATTTTGATAAATATTAATTCCTACGTAAATTTATTACAGATTTAACATTATTTTTCCCAGTGAGAGTTTAATAAAAAATATAGAAATATAATTGATAATAAAATATGATGAAATGTTATGTTCTCTACGCAACAATTAACAAAATTGCATCGACATTCCCAACATACCCCCCAAAAATCTTTTTTTTTTACTAAAAATTCTCGTAGCTAAAAAATTTTGTGCTTCCATATTGTAACAAAAGAAATATATTAACTTTTACCTTCTTTATAGCTGATTAATTCTGTTTGATAAGGCGACCCTCGAGAAGCTGATGACCCCATAAAACGTCAAACTTATGCAACAGAATGGACGAGCTGTCGGTTCTGGGTAAACACAAGAAATACACTGTGCCACGTTCGTAGAGTGAAACGGTATATACAGTACAATTGCAATTAAAGTTTAAGGTCCTGCTATAATAGTCGAGATAAGCTTATTTCTCTAGAAACAGTGCCGCCATTTGCACTGACGTCACCACCTTCCTTGCAGGCGTCTCACGGATCAAGATACGAGTCAATTTAGAAGTATTGACATTGTCTGGCCTTTGTTTTGAGAATGCCTGATGCTAGGTACACATGACAACATAGTTCTGTTATTGTTTTGATGATTCACTAATGAACCTATTAATTAATGGGTAAAATTTTACTTTAACTACCATAAGTATTTGGATGCCTCGATTCGAGATAGGTTATATTGGGTAAATTTTAAGTTTTGGTCATCCCTGTATTTAGACATGCAGACTTTTTTTTCTGGTGGTTTGCGATGTGTTGTGAACGATTTAGACCTCCATTTCTATCGGAAATAACGAGTTTTGAGTTACTACCCCCCTCCCATTACCGGTGTATGTTAAGCTAATCTTATAACTTATAATATAACTTATCATACCCTAACCCAATGGTTCTCAACCTTTTTCACCCCATCCCCCCCTTGAGGAATTTTCAACATCCTCGTGGCCTCCTTCATTTTTCTCCCCACAAATAATGTTGAAAAATAAAATGCAGATGAAGAAAATACCATTATTTTATTTCAAGGTTGGCAATCATCATTATCTTATATTTTGATAGACTTACATGATTGACTAACTGACGTCACTAGACTAGAGTGACTACTAGACAAGCCTCACAGCAAACTTGAATTTGGTTGGGAAAAAGTTCATATGACCTCTGCATATTTTGTCACAGCTCAATGGGATGGTTGACTTTGTTTCCTTTCAGTCAGGTGACTGATCCGAGGTTGTGTCACTGACAATGCACATCTCATGTCCGGGTCCACATCCGGTCGGTTCCGGCTTTTACTCTTTATATGTAGAGGGGTGGAGAAACCAGATTCGCATAAATAGGTAGTTGAAAAAGGCAAGAGGACTCGAAGTGCAATCTCGCTAACTTTTGGATATGACTGATACCTTGAGCACCAGAATACAGTCAGAGATCTTTCTTCATAGAGATCTTTGGCAGCAGAATCATTCTTGAGATCAAGAAATTCGTCCTGAACATCAATGAGAATGGTAGCAATATCAAGAGTGCCAGAGAAGGGATTCCTCACCAATTTCCCATCTTCCTCCTCGAATTCTGGGAAATACTTTTTGAGCTCACTTTCCAAGGATTTCAGGTGCTGAGTGATTTCAGTTTTGAGTGATGGGTCAAGCAGATGATTTTCATTCTCATCAAGAACAGTTGAAAGATTCTCAAACATGGCAACCTTTCCTGCATTGATTTTCCTTTGCCACTTCTGGAGCTTGGCAAGAAATGCACGAAGACAATCCATGAGGTGAAACACATTTCTGTCCTTGCCCTGCAGCTTGAGATTCAGCCTGTTTAGCTGCTCAAATATATCTGCTAAATATGCAAGACGTGGCTCCCACAACACCTCATTGAAGTGACTTAATAGATCATCTTTCCCTTGCACTTCCAGGAACAACTTAAGCTCTCCCCGAAGTTCAAACACTCGATCCACAACATTGCCCTTGGAAAGCCAGCGCACTTTGGAGTAAAAGAGGAGGGCCTCATGCTCTGAATCCATATCTCTACAAAGGTTCTGGAAAAAGCGAGAGTTCAGATCTCCAGCTTTCACAAAGTTGACACATTTGACCACTGCCTCCAGGATCTTGCAAAGTTCACCAGGGAGGGTTTTCGACGCCAGTGCAAAACGATGGATCACACAATGGATCCCCTTGGCATTCGGAGCTACTTCCTTGACACGCTTCTGGAACACTGATTTTGATCCCAGCATCGCCGGAGCCCCATCCGTACAGACTCCACAACAATTTTCCCAGCTGATCCTGTTAGCTGTGAAGAAAGAAGACAGCTTTTCCATCACATCTACAGCTGGTGTGGTGGTCTCAAGCTGTGTACAGACAGATATTCCTCCTTGATGTCACACAAGAAAACATACCTAACAAACACGAGTAGCTGTGCACAAGAACTCACGTCCGTTGATTCATCCAACTGTATTGCAAACATACCAGTTGGAGATAATTTAATCTCCTGTATCACTTTTTCCTTTATGTCATCTGACATTTCATTAATTCTCCGTTTCACTGTATCGTTTGACAAGGGAATTTGTTGAATTTTACGTTCACTTGCCTCTCCAAGAACCCGTTTGACCATTTTTAAAGCACATGGCTTAATTAAAGTTTCACCAATTGAATGGGGCTTCTTTTGCTTTGCTATTTCGAGGGAAACCTCGTATGATGCCTCAACTACACTTACGGTCTGTTGTTGGAAGGCACCACTCTCGTCCAGTCTCCGTTTTCCCAAACTCCATTCATGGCGCCTGAAGAAATCGGTGTATTTCTCCGCATACTGTGGATGGATCATCATCAGATGATGCTTCATCATAGAATCGTTCACTTCTTCAGGGGTGAGTACAGACTGTACTCACCCCTGAAGATGTGAATTACAAGAAAGCGCTTGGGAACTTCGTGTTTTCTTGTTTCCTTGTGGTTATCAACATATACCTGGATCACGCGCACCTACAGTGATTTATTTGCATTTATATATATATATATATATATATATATATATATATATATATATATATATATATATATATATATATATATATATATATATATATATTCGAAATTTCTAGTTCAAGATATACTGGAGTGTCTTATTTTCCCATTAACGCTCTTGACAAGGTATTACAAGTTTTATTTGGATTTGGAAGCATTTCTTTTGTTTGACTTGGGATGTAACCATTGGCAAGACAATTGAAATTTACACCATTGTATTATATCTTGAGTGAGTGTTTTAAGTTCAATAACACAAGTGCTTTGTTGTAACCGTATTTTACACTTATGATTTCGAAACAATTTTATCAAAATATTGAGAATCTCCTTTGCAGAGTACTCAAGTTGGCAGAACACTTGGCTGGCAGCCAACACATTCGCACATGTTATGATGTTAAGTGCTATTTTTGATCTGGCGGCAGTTCGTAAAAACCTAATTGATTTTTCATTACTTTCACGTTTGCTCTCACTGATTCGTTTTAAGACTTGCATAATAAGATCGATACTCCGTCGTAGCTTGAGCTTTTCCTCATAAGAATTGCGATTGGTCAGTCCGAGAGTCAGCTAAACCTAATAAACACTTATGATTGGTTGGTCCGAGCTTCACATGTCACAGCCCCATGTCACTGCAGAAGGGTGTTGCCAGTCAGAGCTTCAACTGTCACAGCCTAGTGTCACCGAAGAAGGATGATGATTGACGCTACTTCAACTATCAGATACTGATGTCATTTGAGATGGTTTTAACTGATTCTTAAAGAGGATCATTGGTTGTTCATTTCTGTCGCTCTAAAATGATTAAATTATTATTCATCGACCAAAGTTGTACCTTTTTTAATTGGTTCGCAATATTAAAAATATTATAAAATGTCCTTTGTATATAACATACTTCATAAGGTGATATTTGATAGAAATTATGCCTTGGCATCTTCAGAATCAATACGGCGACACATAATCCACTATTGTGGTTTTTTAAAACAATATGAAGCAACAATATAGCCTATTTGGGCAATCATGTTATATATATGTATATATATATATATATATATATATATATATATATATATATATATATATATATATATATATATATATATATATATATATATATATATAGTCATTTAACTATAATAGTTATGTATCCTGAGGCGACAAGACAGGGTACATGGTATTTACTGCAGTGTTTGGCGTATATTTTATCCTTGGTCAATAGCATAAAGTCATGTCATTTCAGTTGAGAATCCTTTTGTATAAAAAAGTTTAATCATAATACCACGATTTTAGATAACCATAGTTTAATATAAAGTAACGAGCACAAGTGTACAGAGTCAGAAGACGGCAAACAAGAACATAATTCCAACACAGTCGCTTTTTAGAACACATGGAGACACGCAGTGAAGACTATATGCACCATCACACGACAATCATGTCAACACATCCAAGCCCTTACGAGTGACGAGAAGGAGCTGCTCCGGCTTTCCATCTTGTTTGTATTGACGGAGGACTCAACACGTATGCTTGACCAAACCTTCAAGAGGATTAAGATATCAGGAGCAGAACTTTTATGATGCAAGCGTTGGCTGAGAGGGAGTCGGAACGTAGTGAGAAATTCTCGGGGTTTTTGTGCTTTGAGCCGAACACCACTGGTTCATAAAGTTGTGACGACTATTTAATTATGGGTGTGATTAATGTAGTCATGTAAATAGCTTCCGGTTGTGAATACAAACTGTGACACGTTTAAATGACCATACAAATATTTTTATGGATAATTATATCGGTAACCGGTTTAAGGTAGAAATTCTAGTGCGTTGAACGAAAACTTATGATATTGTGAGACACGGATGAAACCAGATAAGTAACGCCAAAGTTTTTATTTACCTGTGTTTAATCAAAAGCGTAGTAAGTCAGATTGTATGATAATTTGGATATAGCATCACAATATATTACTGACCGTGTTGATTACCAGCCGCTTGATATTAGGTGTTAGTGTCTAGGTTTCGAGCATATATCAACATTATCCGGGCGTTTAGGATGATTTTTTTTTCTCCCATTTGCATAATATTTAAGGTTAAATAAGAATGATTAGGCTCTACCACAAGTAATCCGCGTCACTGGTTTTTCTTCCTCGTTATTACCTAGTCATTTTCTACTTCACCTTAGGATGTTGATGTAATTTATGTGACATCTTACCGGTTTAAGTTTATGCCATCCTACCTTTAAATTTGGTTAGATTTGGCTTTGTTAGGTTGGGTTAGGCTGTATTTAGGTTAGGTTAGGCTGTGTTAGGTTAGGTTAGGTTAGACAGCTAAGATTTATATATATTAGGCTAATTTTTGGCAAGACAATGTTTTATATTTAGTAAGGCTTTGTTTAGGTTAGATTAGGCAAAGTTAGATTAGTTTAGAAGAGACTAGGATAGATTAAGCTCGATTAGATTAGGCTGGATTCTTTCTATAACCAGTTAGATGGCAGCTTTGATAAAACATTGTTCCGGTTCTCATTATCATCCCGGTAGTAATCCACTGTAAACAGATCACTCACTTGTGTTAGAGGACGTCCCTCCACCTCCCTTCGTCACTCCCGGTACCCCAGCTGCGTCTCTTAGATCCATTAACTATGTGGGGTGGGCGGGGACGAGTGTGGGCGCGTGGGTATAGTCTGATTAGAGGAATGATGGGTGAGTGGATAGGACTTGGGTGATTGTTTATAGGTGGGGGTAAGTGGATAGGACTTAGGTGATGGTTTATGGGTAGGTGGATGGGTAGATAAGGTGGTATGTGGGTGGATGGATGGGTAGATATAGCCAAGGTGGTATGTGGGTGGGTGGATAAGGCCAGGGATGATAGTATGTGGGTGGTTGGGTGGACAGAATTTAGGTGTGGGTGTGTGGGTGGATAGAGCTTGAGGCAGAGTATGAGAGGGGAGAGGTAAACTATGTATTGTGAGCTCATCGGCCAAAACAAAACAATGTCCTAAGACCCACAACCTACCTGACCAGCGACCACCTTGGGCCGCTGCCACTTATACACAAATTTTTTAAGCCCTGAAAACTTTGATATTTTGTTTTATTCATAAACTGTGAGAAAATAACCGCAATGACAGAAAGCTAATATAAAACTATAAAACGTGAACATTTCATACCATACGTCCATACCACACAATAGTTTATGGACTAGACGAAGCCTCATGGAGTAGGCTATTTTGATTGAATGACTTCTAATTCCAAGAAGCATTTACTACAGTGTGTTATATATGTGTACTCCATGATGCAGGTTGTTTTTGCAATTTTGCCACGTAATGCTAGGTTTTGGTTCATATTTGGTATGACAAGATAATAAGCTATTATAATTCCTGCAGACCAATTATAAGGTACGGTTAAAATTGACTGTAATTTGCATAAATACCAAGAATTAAAGTGACTTTTGCTAACACCAGAAAATCTATAATCTCTATCTTTTAACGGAATGGCTTGTAAAAACATTGTGTGTCTGGTCGCCCCCTTGTTCATCACCTACTCTGGAAGTTCCGTTTTCAATTAATGTGATAATCTAAAGGGTCCAGTAGTTGTGTTGTATTAGTGTGCTGTTTAATCTTTATTAAATAACAAAGAATAATACAGTAGTTTTTTGGTATTTTCAATGTGAGTATACAGAAATATACAGAAGAAAACCTAATACAAAATATATATATATACGATTTCTGAGTAAGGATATTTTACTGGAGGTGACCCAAAAAAATTACTCTTTACTTTGACAAATAGTTTAACAGAGTATAATATGAGGAAAAATGTAAATATAACGCGTTTAGTATTCAATAACTCTCTAAGTACTACCCGAGCTTGTGCTGAATATTCATCTTTTACTTATACGAGAAAGTCTATAAGATAAGATGATGTAGGCGCCGCTCAAGGTTAAAAAGCAGGTTTAAAATTATATGTGGATAATCAAGTGATAGTTGAGCTTAGATAAGTATACGTCTATGAAAAGCTATTGGGGAAATTTTCTCACTATCATGAATCCAGAGTGGTGGGCGGACGTCTCTATTTCACTCTACTCTGACAGGCTGTCTGAAGATCTTGTCTCGAGAATATCAAAACGAACGATGCCTGTGGACGAATAAACTTTTCCGTCTGTATGTTTTTCCTTGAATGAGTGAGATTTTCCCTATATGAGTGAGTGAGTGAGTGAGTTTTTCCTTGAATGAGTGAGATTTTCCCTGTATGAGTGAGTGAGTTTTTCCTTGTACAGTATATGCGTGGGTGAGTGAGTGAGTAAGCTTTTTTAGGTAAAATATATGAGTGAGTGAGATGTAAAAAAAAAAAAATTTCCTACATGACCCGAAAGTTGATGACAGATATTAAGAGAAACATGCAGGGAATTATTCTCCACAACTGCATCAAATTCTAAAACAGATTAGTTAAAAGAACGAAGGAACGACATTATATTTTGAGTGTTAAAAAAATACGAAAGGGAAATAAAAATAATAAATCAGATGAAATAAAGTATTAGAAAATGGTATGAATAAGAAACATAAGGAAATGAATAATAAAACAAAAGAATGATGTTAAGAAGAGGCGTAAGCAAATAATTGAGAGAAGTAAACAGAAAACTGGTATTCAGAAAAAGACTTACGAAAATAAGCATTAACACATAAATCTCAACACAACTGGTATTAGGAAGTAACATAAATGATTAAGTAGATAAAAATAATAGAAATAAATAATGTAAAACTGATATTTGGGAGAGACAAAGTATTGACTATTTAAACAACGCGGTGAAGAAAAAAGCGGTTGAGAACGAATATATTTACTGACCTTAGCAAACATTT